CGTCTGGCCTCTTCCGCGCTGTATCTTTTGCAAGCACGTGACGCCCAATAATTATACGCAGCGCCCCGCAACTGCACTGTACGAGGCTATTAGTTGCTTGAATGTTCTTTCTCTCTCGTTCGTTTGCAGGTGGGTGCCCTGGAAGGTCAGGTTTTCAAGAGGACCCGCCGGCTGATCAGCCTGAGTGAGCAGAATTTGATGGACTGTGCGGGACCGCGCTATGGCAACAACGGCTGCAACGGTGGCCAGATGCCCGGGGCCTTCCAGTACGTCCAAGACGCCGGTGGATTGGACACAGAAGCCCGGTACCCGTACCGGCAGGTGGTCAGTCTACGTATACTTTTCTTAATACTCCTTCGCAGCGTGTCGCAGCTTAAGTGTAGATGGAGAAGGCAGGAGGTAAAAATAAAAGGCACTTCAATTCCTGCGACATTCCAGTAAACAGCGTGGCTGGCACGCTTACATTAAGCGCCACCACCGGGTGAAATCGAAGTTTCTTCTTCTACTCTATTTATATTTGTCTTCTTTTCCCTCTTCTAACCCTTACACTACTCCTTCTTCCTTCTCTTTCCCACCGCTCACTATATACTAGATCGCCATGCTACGGTTTCTCCTCCTCTTTACCCTTTCCTCGGTTCTACACAGTTCCCTCTCCGATCTTCCTGCTAAACTACACCATCCTCATTTTCCACCAACTTCTGGGTTCCGCAACGAGTTTCTCAGTATTTCTTTACTATTCTGTCCATATTCTTCAAGATGCATTATATTTATTACTTAGATTTGCGGAATTTTAAACTGAATGAGTGTCTGTAGTTTTCCGTCAGGCATCTGCTTATTTAACAAGATGAGATCTGCTACTTTTTGACGTGTGTACGACACGTCGATCTCGCCTCGTTATGCCACCGAAACGTTTCCTTAACGTCGCACTTCCTTCTACCCGTTCCTGCAGACCACCTTCCAGTGCCAGTTCTCCAACTCCTTCGAGGCACGGCGAGTGCTCGTTAACGGCCACACACGAGTGCCACCTAGGAACGAGCGTGTGCTCCAGGATGCCCTGGCCAATGTCGGTCCCATTGCTATCGCCATCAACGCCAGTCCGCAGACCTTCATGTTCTACAAGAACGGTGAGATTCGACCCACCTGCATGCTGCCACTGGTCACGTTAGAAAGGCAATCGCCGTGCTAATTCCAATGGTCGACGTATCAGCCCCCGAACTGCGCCAATGTCACACCTGTCCCGTTATTAGGGAGGCGATCGCCGGGCTAATTCCAAGAGCCGAAGTATCGGCCCCCCGAACCGCACCACGAAAGCGTGGACAATTTAGAAGTGGTCCTTATTGGTGCGCCAGCGGACGCCGGCTGTGGCCCAAAGAACAAGACAGAGCCGAGAGTTGATAAACAAACAAAATTATATTCTCATTAACGGCAGATCAAAACGCAATACACACGTATGCACACTCCACAATAGTTACATACAATACGTCACCAAACAAACAATGTACTACACAGTACAATCAACCACACTTGAAACAAGGGACACAGACAACAATACGCACTACAATGCAGTCGCATGCATTGAACAACCAAGACACTTAAAGACCAAAGAGATATAAAACCTATTCAGTCCAAAGTCCTTGGAACAAAAGTCTGAATGATACTCTTCCGAGAATCACTCACTCAAAGTCCAGCGTTGTTGTCGTTCCGCAGCTCTCGAAGTTCTCTTCCAGGAAACCTCCCGTCTTCAATTGGCCACTCTTCCAACTTCAACTTCTTCGCCGGAACACGTCGGCTTCACACTCGCAGCGGTTGCCACGGGTCTTCGCTCGATAGCGGTAAACACACACTCTTGCCTGTAGCTCGAGCCGTCCCTACGGACCACAAACTTCGCCGACTACACGGCGGACTCTCTACGCACTCTGGCGCTCACTTCCGTCTCCTCCTGTTCTGTCACTACGGGCAGAACCTTCGCCGACTCCACGGCGGAATTCCTACGCGCTCTGGCGCTAACTTCCGTCTCCTCCTGCTTTCTCGTCTCGGCCGCTCGATTAAATACCTTCCGCGCCACTTTCCAGAATTTTCTCGTCCTTTCGTCGGCGCGATACGCAGCGAAGGCTGGAGAGAGGCGAGACGGTTTGTCAGCCCTCCGCGTCGGGTGACTCAGCTCGGCGTAGCCACGCCTCCCTCGTTCTGGAAATTTCTAGCGCTTGCCCGGCCGCCGCTGTGGGGTGAGGAGGTTCGTCTGCGAAGCCGTGCTTCTGCGGGGAGAGCGCGCGCCCGGGAGCCTTGGATGTTTGCTTTCTCTTTTTTTTTCTTTTTACCTCGCGGCGTTTCTACCGCCCGTTGTCGCAAGGATTTGGCGGCGCGCTCTCTTTTTTTAGCGCTCGTTCTGTGACAGCCAATAAAGCTCGGACAATTTACATTTGGTCCTATTTGGCGCGCCACCGAACGCCGCCTGTGATCCAAATAACGAGTCGGAGCCGAGAGTTGATAAACAAAACATAAAATTATATTCTCAAATATGGCAGATCACACAAACATGCAAGCTCGGCAATAATCCTATACAATATGTCACCAATCGAACAATGGGCTACGGGCTACATATCGCGTGCATATATGTGGGTCAATCCATGCCAAGTTTCCCAGACGTGGCGTGCTCAAACGTCGCAGATTTTGCTTCCGTGTACCTCATGGAGTATTGCGGCTAAACATTTTTGCTCGAAAAACAAATTCTCAAGACCGTGGCAGCGCCTCAAAGTTCGCGTGCTTTTGCCGGAGTGTGCACAACAGATAAATGTATCTAAATTGTATATTTGTTTGCGGAAATTTGAAACGGCACTTGCCCTACTACAGAGGTTTTGTTGAGTTGTGCTGATTCCAGGCATTTTTCAAGCTGAGCCCGCGAGTTTTCCTTCTCAATGTTGGGTCTTGCTAATTTTGAGGCTCATTTTCACTAATAGTTTGATGCGATCACCACTGACATAACAACCATACACACACATTGGCCGCAATAGGTGTTGAGGCACCCATTGTCGTCGCAGGCAAACTCTACGGCGATGCGGATGTCGCTTTCTGCTGCGTAAGGGAGTGTCAAAAATAGCACTTTGTTAATCTTTTCATTGACAATGCTGAGGTCAATTGTTCATACGTAAATGCTTTCGGGCGTAGCATTGTGTGACGTGTAAAGTTTATTGCTAATTTACTCTGTAGTAATTTGGAATGTTAATTCTCGAATTCACTGGAGTGCACGAACTGATGTCCGCCATAAGCTAATACTACAACGATTAACGCACATCATAGTATTCACACATATACCTTGTTCATGCGCAGGTTCTACGACCGTCACTTCGTTTGTCCTGACGTCGTTTTTTTTTTTACGGATTTATACATTTTTCTCGGGGGAACTTCTCCGCCAACACATTGCAATGTTTTTTCCGGCTGTTTGTAGCACCATTAATGCTCCAACCTTGGCTTCGTTTTATGTAGGCATCTACGGTGAACCGAACTGCGATCCCCGTGGTCTCAATCATGCCGTGCTGCTGGTCGGTTACGGGCAGGAGAGGGGTGTGCCGTACTGGATTGTCAAGAACAGGTGAGAACCTTCAGTAGAAATTTTTGTTCAAAGTGTATTTTGTACTAAACAGCTGTAGATGCTCGGAGACGCGTGTAGTCGCCCTAGCGTGTCTTTGCCGCATGGCCGTTCGTCCATGCGTTAATTAAGGTGCTCCAAATGATGCTCTAAAGAATTAGGGGGCTCTCTGAATGTGCAGGCTCGATCGTTGCGTAGAAAATTTATTTCAAGGCAAGAAGTTTGGGGAATTACGAGTGTCCTGCGTATTCGAAAGCTATTGTGGCCTTTGAAATGTTAATTACATGCTTGCTAGTAGTAGCAGAGCTTTCGCACGACAACACGAAGCGGATGTAGTTTGTAGCGCTTGTACGCACAATGAACGCATGGGTTAGGTTTCCTACGAGCGTGCACAGCAGTGGTGTGCTAGCAGTTCTCTCTCTCTATCTATCTCTTTTCTTTGTCTTTTCTTTAATTGTAGAGCAAGGTGTACTCGCGCAGCTCTCTAAGCGCTCGCACTTGAGCCAATTTCTACTGCGCATTTTCAAACCTCTCTTCTTGTGCAGTTGGGGCACCGGTTGGGGCGAAGGAGGCTACATCAGGATCCTGAGGAACCGGAACGTCTGCGGCATGTCCCAAGATCCTTCTTTCCCCAACTTGTAATGGAGTCCTGTTTTACAATTAAGTCTGAAAGTTTCGCTTGACAATGACTCTCTCTGCAATAAAGACACCGACATCATCATTTTTCGTGCCTTTCATTGTTATTGTAGTAGTATAGTGGGCGTGACACTAAAGAGAGAAAACAACGGTCTTCCTTTTTTGTTACAATGCTAGAAATTCCGACGTCACTTCTATCACCCTGTTATGGATGTAAGCTCCCTCACGTGCCCGCCGTACTTAAGCACAGATCGCAGTGGAACATTTGATCTAAGCTCGATTTGCGTCGAGTAAGAAAACGCATGTATACTGTTGGTTTGAGCCCACGCGCTGAAAGCATAGCGATTCAACGAAGAGCACAGGATGCGCGCATTCCTTGAGTGCACAGCCTGTCCTTCTCCCTTAGCCCCTGTGGTCTGGCTTCGTTGAATATATCGGGCAGGTCGGGGAAGCGCAGGACAGCATTCAACGTTAACAGTTGGCATATTAAAGCGGCATATCATCCCATGCGATGGCTTGTACCCAAAGAAAAAAAAAAGTAAGCTGAGCACTTCGTTGAAGCCGATGCTTTGTTATCCTAGACTATTTCATGCTGCCTGAAACACGGCATGCTTTCTGCCAATGATCAAGCATTGTCTGTACATATTCTGAGGAAATTCCGGATAACTCACTGTGAGGACTGGTTTGCATCCTTGGTCGTGTCTCTGACGGCCCCAGACACGGAAATCGATGTCCTCGATCGCAGTCCCGGAGTTCGAAAGAATACAGGGCACAGTTCCACGTGGCAAGAAATATTTATGTCATGTTTACAACATAATTTGTTGAAGCTTTAGTTGCACTGCCTAAGTGCTACCCATATCATAGCTCTCCCATCCCTGCCCCCAACTTAAAAGAAAAATACTTAACACAGTTATTCTGCTGCCTAAAAACTGTTCTCATCGTTGCTGCAGTGTGCCACACATTTGAAGAGACTGCGTTACTCAATGTGCTGCCACCAGGAGCCGCTCACGAGCTTGTACACTTATGTACTCTATAGCTTGTACGATGACGACCACAAATCTTCTGTCGATCGTCGGGAACGTCGCTGAATGCTTGGCGAGAGGGGTGCAGTTTTCCTACGCCGCCTTCTCAGCTGCACAAAAGTACTGCCATCACACTCCCGCTCACTCAGCAGACCAACGCTGTTCCGGGCGTCGCTTCGTTGTAAAGTTTGCGCAGTGTCACGTCGAGCACTTTGCGTCCTTCGCCCGTAAGAAAAGAGCGCAGCGCGGCTTGACTCGCGTACGTCAGATGTCGGGACATGCGTCCTACAAGGTGCGTGAAACCCTTGAGCGAGGAAGTGCTGAACGACGATGCCTTGACTGCGTCCACGCGGTACGAGCCCGAAGGCATACCGTCGACGTCAAGCGGCTGCCGCACAGTGGCCGGCAGCAAGTACACCTGTTGCCAAGCCGAGAACGCGGACGCCGTTGACCGAAGCCCTGAACTTGAACGTGGCCGTCACCCGAGGCCACATAAGCTGCAGCTTGCGGTGGCCGCAGCTCTTTGCCGATCGCGATACGGTTGCGAGGCCGTGGAGGTGTCCCTTCTGGACGTACACATGGCCGCTGTAGGCTGTGCCGTGCACGGTCTCGTTGATGGAGAACGTACCGCCGTTGCTGGCGATGGTGCGGGTGTAAGGCAGTTGCTCCCGTAGCAACTCCACCAGAGGGTCTCGCGGCTTCTGCTGCTTGGCCGAAGGCGCAATGTAAGCCGCCTCTTCTGCGAAAATAAAGAACGGTGCTTGAGTGCATCGGGTGCTATAGACCTCTTACACGCGAGTATTTACGGCAAGCAAAGCAGCGTACAAAAAATGACAATTATGAACTAACTTCTCTGTATGCCTCGTCCTTTTCATTGTCCATGCCTGTTAGGCGACACCTTCTTTCCTCCACCATAAACAGTGCTAATGTTGACTCTTCATCTAGCCCAGCTATGAGGGACAAAGCCAAAACGTTTCTCCGGAGTGGAAGTTCAGCCATACGACTATGTACGGGCGTGTTTTCGTATGCGTGCGCGTATATATACAAATGCAAAATTGAAAATTTCGAGGGAAGTCGAGCCCTAGCTCACTCCCCCACCTGGATATGCTTGTACGAGTGGTAGCCGTATTAGACAAATAAGTTTGAATGGCTCAGTTGCAGTTACATAAACGAGCAACTTCGAAAATAGAACGTTTTGTGTACCTCTTGTACAAAGGGGGGAGCCTACAATGACATTTCGGTGAAGCGTGCAAGTATTGTGTTTAGTATTCTGGAAGTAACCACATTTGAAAGCAAGTGAAATAAAATTTGTTAGACCACAGGACCACAACATTACAACGAACAGACTTCGCACGAATTGTTAGTATCATACACGGAGAACTCCTCCGGTTCTTTTTTTTTTTGTTTACCAATTATTCTTAAAAATATTGTGGAGCTGCATGAGGTACGTGTTGTTCATGTTCTAAAACATGCAGATGTAATAAAGAAATACTTCATATAAAATTTAGTATAATGGCCATAAGACCATTCCTGCAATTGTCACATATTTTAATCAACAGCGAAGCATTCAACTAAAGTTGCTTCAACATGATTATTTTGCACCCTGGCGCTTATACTCTTCTATAGGCACGTCCACACATGCTACTTTTTGCACTGTGATGCAATCGCATTTTCGAATGTGAAATGTTTCCATTTTTATTAGAAAAATGAGACGTATAGTACTACGCAGTGGAAACGAGCACAGCTGTGGTCTAATTCACATCATCATATATATACAATCTGCGTTCGTTCTCCATTCACTGCACTACTGGGCACCGGAAATCTGGCCAGCCTAATTAGCGTATAGTCACTGTATACACCATGCAAAAATCAATGCACTGTTCAATGCAATGCAATTCAATGTAATGTTCTGAATACTTCCAGTGTTGCCCTATATTGAACTGATGAAGGAAAAAATATTTTGCGTAGAGAAAACGATGTGTATAGTCGTATAACTGTAGATAGCTCGCATACGGCATTTACGAAGCATGTGGCTCTCGTACAGGCGAGAACATCTCGGATAGAGAAGGGGGAGCGAGCTACTCGCAGAAAAGCAGAGGCGTCGGCCTATATAGAACATCAAGCTGTGGCAACTCTAAAAACGTGCGTCTTGACAGTAGTAGGCTCGAAGAGAAGCCCTTCAAGAAGAAAGAAAATCCTCTTTATACTTGTGCACTATTAATCGTCGCAGAAGAAGAAGACAGGATGAAGCGCCTAACATCACCATCAGCCTGACTACGTCCACTGCAGGACAAAGGCCTCTCCCATGTTCCGCCAGTTAACCCGGTCCTGTGCTTGCTGCTGCCAATTTATACCCGCAAACTTCTTAATCTCGTCTGCCCACCTGACCTTCTGTCTCCCCCTAACCCGCTTCCCTTCTCTGAGAATCCAGTTAGTTACCCTTAATGACCAGCGGTTATCCTGTCTACGCGCTACATGCCCGGTCCATGTCCATTTCCTCTTCTTTATTTCAACTATGATATCCTTAACCCCCGTTTGTCCCCTAATCCACTGTGCTCTCTTCTTGTCTCTTAAGGTTACACCTACCATTTTTCTTTCCATTGCTCGCTGCGACGTCCTCAATTTAAGCTGAACCCATTTGTAAGTCTGCAGGTTTCTGCTCCGTAGCTAAGTACCGGCGCCTAACATATAGAGGACCATTGCCTGTCCTGCATGTGTGTGAACATTTTCTCGCGTCTTTTCCTCTCGTGCTTGGCAGATATTGCTCCAACTTGACCAAACCAAATAACCCATCATCCTTCGCATAATTGAAAAAAAGATTGATTGATATGTGGGGTTTAACGTCCCAAAACCACTATATGATTATGAGAGACGCCGTAGTGGAGGGCTCCGGAAATTTAGACCACCTGGGGTTCTTTAACGTGCACCCAAATCTGAGCACACGGGCCTACAACATTTCCGCCTCCATCGGAAATGCAGCCGCCGCAGCCGGGATTCGAACCCGCGCCCTGCGGGTCAGCAGCCGAGTACCTTAGCCACTAGACCACCGCGGCGGGGCAATTGAAAAAAAAAAGACAAACGTTGTGTAACTATACGAGACTTTGTCAATAACTAATATTGCTCACCTTCAGACAGGATTCTCTGCGACTCGACGGGGGTCCAGTGAGCGGAGAGTTGTACCAAGAGCAGTAGCAGCAGCGCAGCGGCGGCTGTGGCGGGATTCTCCGCGCGTTTGCTCATGTCGTCGGGCGTGCTTCTTTCCACGTTTCTGGGGCGTCGTCGGGATGTTGGTTCACCGATTCCGTTTCTCGTTTATATCTCCGGCTCGCCGCCGGTACCAACGCAACATCGGCGCGTGGGCGTCGCTTTGCATCCGCCTCGGAGGTCGTCTTGACGCTCGCTCGAGCGCGCACGTTGAAGCTTTCGGAAGTCCGCGCTCTTGGACGCTGCGTCAGCGGACGTCTTTGACGGCAGCGGGAGAAGGATGCCTGCCTGTAAGGCTATGGCTCGATCGGTTCAACCGGCGATCGCTATGACCGCCTTGATTACGTGATTCACTTAGCTGTATAGACTGACTGAGCAGTGTTCCTGTTGAAAGTATAGAGTCTGCTCTTCTCCTTAACGACCCTTTCTCACTGTAAGTCGCTACGTACGTTGTTCTTCCTGCGAGCTCACATTCCCTGCGACAATACTGCAAGCGGTCTATGCACCGACAACTACCGGAATTCCCGCTGCTATCACTCGTATAGGGAAGGTCGGTGTCACCAAAATGTATGTATATATGAAAACGTCAAGAGTGTGTCATCACGCCCACGCCTTGGCTCAGCGCAACGCAACTCATTTCAAGGCCACGTTCCCCCATATGGTGTCTGTCTTCCGTTGCTAACTTTAGCGCTGTATGTAGCACAAACGTACTGCACTTTCCTGGTCATACGTGTTTGTTTAGTTGTATATTACCGATAGACAGATCACTTGATCGATTACTGAGTGATTCGTTGCCTGATAAGATGTTCGTAAAACACAATTAAGATACTGCTGTCCATGAACGTGTGTATGCAGGGTCATCCATACATACGGTGAACACCCCATTGCTATTCAAATGCTCATGAAACATTATGCTTAACACATAATTTATAACATTATTGTGGCGCTTATCGACATCATTATTACACGCCAAATAACGTACATCTCTCTCGCCTAACATAATAAGCGTTCTAGTTTTACTGGCTTGAATAATAGGTTCAAAGACCGAGCTGGACGGCAGCACCTCCCATTGTTCCTACGTGTTGTTCATGCTGTGGTGTTCATTATTGTGTAGAGTACCTACACCATCATCTAAGAATATGAATAAAATGGTTAAGACCAAGCGTGCCAATGTGCATTACAATGATTAAAAGAAGAGTAAAGAAATGTTCTTGGATTCAAGTATTGCCAAAACCGCAGTCGAAAGCGTATTCATTCATTCTGCCTTAACATTACGAATGGTATCCAACAGATTCGGCGGCCACTCAAAATAGTATTCTTTTGGGGTTTAAGGTTCCGGAACCACGATATTACACCACCTGGGATTCATTAACATGCTCCTAAATAACGGACCTCAAGTATTCTCGCCTCAATAGAATTTTCACCGCTGCCGGAATTCGGTCCTACGGCCTTCGCGTCAGCAATCGAACACCACAACCGCTACACTACGCAATTAGCGGGTCACTGGGCAGTGAAACATTGTTCGCATATTGCAAATAATCTAAGCATAGGAAGTATTCTGACTACAAAATACACCGAAAACGAATTTTATTAAAATTGACAAAACTGAATCGTCGAGAAACCTTGAAATGAAATATTTATTTGAAATTTCTTTTCATTTATAATCAGATTGATTTTTTCAATAAAGTTTCAACAACAAAAACAGAGAAAGTCTCTGGAATGCACGCATTGCTCTATTATTCAGTTTCGCTTTAGACTCTGGTATGCACCAATGACACGAAGTTCAGTGACATTTAAATAACAATTGATTCTGTCTTCATTACTGGTGAAAATGGCCCTTGGAAATTCGGTATTCCTAGATTTTTCAAAGGTGCATAACCTATCAATAAAATCTATTGTGAGTGGATTTCTGGTGAGAATGGTGAGCCTATATGGCCTTTGGAAATCTGGTATTTTTTATTTTAGGGGCAAAGCTCCTTAAGCCGTGGGTCATGCGTCCGCGATGCATGTAGTAGTAAGTAGTAGTAGTAGTAGTAGTAGTAGTAGTAGTAGTAGTAGTAGTAGTAGTAGTAGTAGTAGTAGTAGTAGTAGTTGCAGCAGCAGCAGTAGTAGTAGTAGTAGTAGTAGTAGTAGTAGGAGGAGGAGGAGGAGGAGGAGGAGGAGGAAAAGGAGGAGGAGGAGGAGGTAGCCACCTCTACGGACGGACTAGAGGAACGGCATGCACGCACTCCTTAGAGTGGAGGAGGAAACCCGCGCACATTAATCATAAATAAAAAGGCAGTTGTTTCTGATGAAATAACCTAGCGACGAATATCGATGACTTAATCTCTAATAAAATTGGTCTTGAATTTTATGCTTACAAAAAAAAAAAAAACTAGTACGAGAAGGTCGCCCTTTGAGCACTACCTGACCAGAAAGTGTTGCCACGGTAAACTCGCTGGGCGTAACCTCCCTGGTTTTAACAAGGTTTAGCGAGGATTGGGCTGCAGTGCCATGAACTAGCGACGGTGAAAGGTGGGAACTAGACACGAAGCGCACGCCGTCAGAGAGTACGCGCGTGCCGCTCCTCTAGTACCGGCCGTGCCACCTTTTGTTTAGTACATGGAATGTCCACTGGATGATAGCTTATCTGTATGATGAATATATGATGAAAAGATGTGACATGGCAGTACTTGGAGTGTTCACTATATTAACGGACGGATGGACAGACGCACGGACGGATTGATGGATGCTTCGCCCCCCACTCATCATCATGCACTCCGGCAGAGGAGGCATCAAAATACACATACAGGTATATATATATATATATATATATATATATATATATATATATATATATATATATATATATATATATATATATATATATATATATATATATATATATATAGAAAGAAAAGTGGATGAAAAAATTACCAGCTGCTCACAGCTGGTAATTTTTTCATCCACTTTTCTTTCTTCTTTCTTCTTATTTACATTCCATTGGTTCTAATAACTTCCCCTGTACATTCCTTGGCATTACTGTCTGTTATATCTCATTAATATTGTGTTAAAACACGGAAATACGAGCCCTTGGGTATACACTTCTCTCCCTTACATATATATATATATATATATATATATATATATATGTGTGTGTGTGTGTGTGTGTGTGTGTGTGTGTGTGTGTGTGTGTGTGTGTGTGTGTGTGTGTGTGTGTGTGTGTGTGTGTGTGTGTGTGTGTGTGTGTGTGTGTGTGTGTGTGTGTGTGTGTGTGTGTGTGTGTGTGTGTGTGTGTGTGTGTGTGTGTGTGTGTGTGTGTGTGTGTGTGTGTGTGTGTGTGTGTGTGTGTGTGTGTGTGTCAACGCAAAGATCAAAATATTTTTGGGGTTCAAAATGCAATGTATTTAAAAGGGTCACAACAATAGCCTAACAATCCTGCTGAAAATCCTCAAACTTTTCTTACCCTCCCCTGCCAATCTTGGTCTACAACAGATTGAAGATGCGATCATGACGGCACACATATGTTGGCGGCTGGCTGAATAGATAGATAGATAGATAGATAGATAGATAGATAGATAGATAGATAGATAGATAGATAGATAGATAGATAGATAGATAGATAGATAGATAGATAGATACAACAATATCTTAATGGTTAAGGCACTAGCATCAAAGCATGACGGCCCATGTTCGAATCCCAGTGCTGTGATGAAGGCCTTTTTTTTCCTTCGTTGGTAGGACGCATTGTAATGATCGGCCTGCCTGGCTTGATGCCGCTTTGACGCATGAGAATATGTGGCTGAGCCTACCCTGATTTCTCACAAGTCAGCGCTTCTAGAGATGCACCAAGAGCGGCAACAACAGAGAAATTGTTCTTCTAGTTATCCCAGGTCGTCGGCGCCCCTCGTAAAACCCTTTGGACACGCATGACCGGCTGACGGATTAGGAAGAGTTGTTGACCGTCGAGGCGGCTTGCTTTGTCGTCAAGGTGCCCCGGACAAAGGGCCCAGCATATGACAATCGTCTGCGGATGCATTTCCCACGTTCTCCATGGCGCCTTGATGCCGCTGTTTCCACAGTTTGTGGTCTGCCTGGCGCCGCATAGCCATCCCTGCAACAGACTGCGAAATCGACTTCCACGTAAGACTCAACGTCTTCGTGCTGTGCTGTGTTGTGCGCGGTGTGGAGTGTTTTTTTCCCTCGCCATAGGCTGAACTGGGCGTGCCTCTTCCCCCTTTCGTGGGTTTAGAAGGAGGCGGTGTTTCACCTTCCCCTTTTGGGGGCGGAGGTGAAGATGACAAACATGATTCGACTCTCCTGACCTCCACTGTTTTTTTTTCCTGCAGGGAATTCTAGGAAGGCCAGGACATAAAATGCGATCGCCGAGGCGCTCCCGACAAGCTCTCACATGCTCTCACAAGCTCGCAGAGCTCCCATCATGCTTCCGCCGAGAGCTTCCATGATGCTGCTCTCATCATGTAATAACACGCTACCTGTATATAATGTAATTAAAAGCTATTGTTAAGAGCTCCGGGCTGCTCTCCTCGACATCTCCTCGGGACTCTGGCTGGCTCCGGTCCTCAGGGCAGACCCCCGGTTACATCAGCATTCGCATGGTTCCCGTGAATTCAAGCAAACGAAGTGGTGGTGCTTTGCTGAACGGTTGGGGTGCGTGGCTACGGAGCATGAGAGGCTACGTTCGAATCCCAGGGCTGCGATGAAAGCCCTTTTTTTTTTTGACAGTAGGACGCATTCTGATGGTTCATATAAATTCGCGACAACAAAGTGTTGGTGTTTAGCTCAATGAATAAAACACTCGCCTCTGGCGCAAGAAGGACTGGGTTCGAATCCCAGTGATCCATCAATTTTTTTCTTCTATTATCAGGGCTGATAATGGCCTCAACGTTTTTCGCTAGTTGTAACCAAGTGTTGCGGTTAAGCCAACGCATCAGGGTCCTTTAGATCAATTGAGTGATATGATTGATATCTTGGGATTAACGTCCCAAAACCACCGTATGATTATGAGAGACGCCGTAGTGGAGAACTCCGGTAATTTTGACCACCTAGGGTTCTTTAACGTGCGCCCAAATCTGAGCACACGGGCCTACAGCATTTTCGCCCCCATCAAAAAGGCAGCAGCCGCCGCCG